CAGAGCTTTGGGAACTTCCGGTTTTCATCTTGAGAGGTTTGGAGTTTCTGCAGGAGCGGAAACTCTGCCCGTCGTCCAAAGGCTTCGGACATAGGTTAGGGTCCTTTGTATTTGTTTTAGGGTTTGGGGTTTTACGCTACATAACTATAATCAGGAACCCCTCAGACCCCGTTGAAGTTATTAAGGCCCCTGCACTAGGCCTCGCTGCAGAACAGGACAGCTTTAGGGCACTCGTACTAGAATACTAAGACTAACGGTATTAGTACTACGACTGATACCTGTACTTGTGGCACTAGTGCCAGTGCGAGAAGAACTAGCACTCCTGCTGATGCTCCTGCTGCTCCTCCTCGTCCTCCTCCTCCTGCTCCTCCTCATCCTCCTACTCCTGCTCCTACTCCTATTACTCCTATACTCCTACTACGACGACAGTTCAGAGGTTGATGCCCTGCTGTGATGTGCGCAAGATCTGACATCACTGATGCTTGCAATCTCAGCCTCGATGCCTTTTCGCCGTCCTTAACTAGTATTCCCTGAGGTTCACATCATTCTCAATTCGGGGTCAAGTTGAGGCTGCTCGCGATTGAACATCAATGAGCATTCGAGCGGGAAGTGCTACCTGAACTACGACTACTATTATTATTACTACTGCTGCTACTACTACTACTGCTACTGCTACTGCTACTGCTACTGCTACTGCTACTGCTACTGCTACTGCTACTGCTACTGCTACTGCTACTGCTACTGCTACTGCTACTACTACTCCTTGCTGGCACCCTTTCTCCTCTTGCTACGAACCCCCTCCTTACCTTTGACTTCGACGATACCTACGCAAACGCGATGCTCCTTTTGGCAGGCTCCCGAGCCCCCGCTCTTCCAGCCTTCGGAGCAGTTCGGTGCCGGCGAGCCTTTTGGGTTCTTCGACCCGCTCGGGTTCACCAAGGTTGGCGACGAGAAGGGCTTCAGGAAGCTGCGTGTCTCCGAGATCAAGCATGGTAGAGTTGCGATGATGGCTTCAATTGGGCTAGTCGCACAGCATTTTCTCAAGTTCCCCTTCTTCGAGAAGGCTCCGGCGGGCTTCTCCATCATGGGCACGGGCGAAGGCGTGCTCGGCTTCTTCGGCATCTTCCTTCTTTGCGCCCCGCTGGAGCTGTGGTGGAGGGAGAACCCTGAGAAAGAGCCTGGGAATTACGGCGACCCCTTCGGTGTCCAGATGTACAACGACGAGATGAGGATGAAGGAACTAAACAACGGGCGCATGGCCATGATCTCGGTTCTTGGCATCTTCGCCGCAGAGATGGCTACCGGCAAGGACGCCATGCAGCAGTTCGGACTTCCAGCCATCGGTGGTGCCCGTGCCTCCACCTCCTCTAGCAGCAGCTTTGCAGGATCCACCTCTTCCAGAGTCGTGGCTCAGCAGCGTGTGGTGCGAAGGGCTGAGGCCGTCATTCAGGAAGATGCGCCGCCGCTCTTCCAGCCTTCGGAGCAGTTCGGTGCCGGCGAGCCTTTTGGGTTCTTCGACCCGCTCGGGTTCACCAAGGTTGGCGACGAGAAGGGCTTCAGGAAGCTGCGTGTCTCCGAGATCAAGCATGGTAGAGTTGCGATGATGGCTTCAATTGGGCTAGTCGCACAGCATTTTCTCAAGTTCCCCTTCTTCGAGAAGGCTCCGGCGGGCTTCTCCATCATGGGCACGGGCGAAGGCGTGCTCGGCTTCTTCGGCATCTTCCTTCTTTGCGCCCCGCTGGAGCTGTGGTGGAGGGAGAACCCTGAGAAAGAGCCTGGGAATTACGGCGACCCCTTCGGTGTCCAGATGTACAACGACGAGATGAGGATGAAGGAACTAAACAACGGGCGCATGGCCATGATCTCGGTTCTTGGCATCTTCGCCGCAGAGATGGCTACCGGCAAGGACGCCATGCAGCAGTTCGGACTTCCAGCCATCGGTGGTGCCCGTGCCTCCACCTCCTCTAGCAGCAGCTTTGCAGGATCCACCTCTTCCAGAGTCGTGGCTCAGCAGCGTGTGGTGCGAAGGGCTGAGGCCGTCATTCAGGAAGATGCGCCGCCGCTCTTCCAGCCTTCGGAGCAGTTCGGTGCCGGCGAGCCTTTTGGGTTCTTCGACCCGCTCGGGTTCACCAAGGTTGGCGACGAGAAGGGCTTCAGGAAGCTGCGTGTCTCCGAGATCAAGCATGGTAGAGTTGCGATGATGGCTTCAATTGGGCTAGTCGCACAGCATTTTCTCAAGTTCCCCTTCTTCGAGAAGGCTCCGGCGGGCTTCTCCATCATGGGCACGGGCGAAGGCGTGCTCGGCTTCTTCGGCATCTTCCTTCTTTGCGCCCCGCTGGAGCTGTGGTGGAGGGAGAACCCTGAGAAAGAGCCTGGGAATTACGGCGACCCCTTCGGTGTCCAGATGTACAACGACGAGATGAGGATGAAGGAACTAAACAACGGGCGCATGGCCATGATCTCGGTTCTTGGCATCTTCGCCGCAGAGATGGCTACCGGCAAGGACGCCATGCAGCAGTTCGGACTTCCAGCCATCGGTGGTGCCCGTGCCTCCACCTCCTCTAGCAGCAGCTTTGCAGGATCCACCTCTTCCAGAGTCGTGGCTCAGCAGCGTGTGGTGCGAAGGGCTGAGGCCGTCATTCAGGAAGATGCGCCGCCGCTCTTCCAGCCTTCGGAGCAGTTCGGTGCCGGCGAGCCTTTTGGGTTCTTCGACCCGCTCGGGTTCACCAAGGTTGGCGACGAGAAGGGCTTCAGGAAGCTGCGTGTCTCCGAGATCAAGCATGGTAGAGTTGCGATGATGGCTTCAATTGGGCTAGTCGCACAGCATTTTCTCAAGTTCCCCTTCTTCGAGAAGGCTCCGGCGGGCTTCTCCATCATGGGCACGGGCGAAGGCGTGCTCGGCTTCTTCGGCATCTTCCTTCTTTGCGCTCCGCTGGAGCTGTGGTGGAGGGAGAACCCTGAGAAAGAGCCTGGAAACTACGGCGACCCCTTCGGTGTCCAGATGTACAACGACGAGATGAGGATGAAGGAACTAAACAACGGGCGCATGGCCATGATCTCGGTTCTTGGCATCTTCGCCGCAGAGATGGCCACCGGCAAGGATGCCATTCAGCAGTTTGGCTTCTAGATGGTCCTCAGCATGTTGAGCCGTTTCACAAGCGTGAGCACAGTTTCGGACAGTGAGCATCTATCTTCTCTCTCGGTCCTTGCGGAACGCAAGTCGACCCCAAACCAGACCCTTGAACGCTTTACCGGCTTATTAACCCTGAAGCCAGAAACCCAGGCCCTAAAGCATCTTCCCGAAAGCCAAAGCCTTTGGGCTTCGGCGTTTGGGGCTTTAGCCCGAAGCCCTGAACCCAAGGCAGGTGAGCGTGATTTTCGAGCCCAGCCAGCGAGCTAGGAGCTCTGTTTCAAGGTCTCTTTCCTCGACCCAGCAGTTCCCACTGCATCGCATCGATGCGACAAAAGGCCGTCACTGTCCTTGTTGCTGTTATCCTTACTCTAACTGTGGTTGCCGGGTGTGGTGTAGGAGTTTAGGGTTTCCGGGTTCAGGCTCATTTAGGGTTGTGAGGGTTGAAGGTATGATGGTATGATGGTATGATGTACAGCGGCGTAGGAACGTAAGTCTTTAGCGCTTGCATGAGAGGGGGTTTGGTGGTTTTGCTGTTGAGGTTTGAGGGGCTCCGGACATGGCATTGTTGGACGGCTTGAAGGTTCAGGAGAGATAGTGCCTTTAGGGTTTAGGGTTTGTGGGCCATGGGCTCGTATCCCCAAACCCCGAACTTCTAAACCCTAAACCCTACTTAAAGGGTCACGGGACTTAGTAGCTAAGGTTATAATCAGGGTAACTATACTTATAAAACCCCAATTAACGTACTGATAACCTTACTTACTAAGTCCCATGATCCTCCAAGTAATCGTCTAAGCCCTAATCCACCGGATTGTGGCGATCGCTTTGGGTACATCGACCCATGGCTTCGCGTATACCAAAGCTGTGTGAGCAAACCATATATATAGGGGCCTTATTACTTGGAGTATGGTTTTGTTGAAACCGTTGACAGGGTCCCTTTAATGAATTAAATACTACAAGGGTTCTATGATATATAGCATTTGTGTGCATATCTATATTACACCAGAAACATAGTGAGGACCGTTGCAAAGTAGTAGTGGCAATTTCTTAGGCCCCTATATGAATTAGCCCACGCCCCTATAAAATTTAGAATCTTCAACGTAAACCTACAGAGACATCAAGAATCAGACGAGCTCTAGAACCCCGAACACTGCTCCGTCAATTAAAGCCCACCCAGAACCTCTAAAACCCAATGACCTAATTGCAGCCTCTGGCCCAGAAGCAGCCCTTTACAGTAACCCTTGTTTATAGTTAGCGTGAACCCCAGAAAGTTTGAACATGGATTAGGGTGATTAGTGTTGGGTTTCCTTACTTGAAGGATCATGGGACTTAGTAATTAAGGATATAATTAGGGTAACTATACAAATAACCCCAAATTAAGGTACTTATAACCTGACTTACTAAGTCCCAAGATCCTCCAAGTATGTTGTACTTGAAGGCCACGAGGAGAATGTTTGTCCAACTTTCAGGCTTCTAGTGTAAAAGTATAGCAGCCCTTGTCGAAGGATTTCAAGACCCTCGGAACCTGAGCCAACAATACGACTCGCGTCTTGAGCTTCCACGGCCGCAACTCCGAATCCCCTGGAGAATGTGGGTTTAGAGTGCAGGTGCTTAGGGTTCTAGGGCTTAGCGCCTACTTGGGGGTTCAGGGGTTGCTATCAGTGGGGCTATAAGTCCCCTAATATGGGTTATTATTGCGGTCACCCTACTTACAACCTCCAAGTACTTGGAGGATCATGGGACTTAGTACGTCAGGTTATAAGTACCTTAATTGGGGTTATAAGTATAGTTACCTTAATTATATCCTTAGTTACTAAGTCCCATGATCCATTAAGTACCCATGAACCTCCAAGTAGGGCTTGTCTGCCAGGGCTTTCAAGACAAAGTGGTCGACTTTCGGCGGTTTGTGGCCTGCTCTCTTGACCTGGAGGACCGCCTCTCTGCCTGACTTTGGCGAGATAGGGTTCCTTCAAAAGGGTTCTTATAAGTGATACTCTCAGGGATGCTGCAAGGGGTATTATCAGGGGTATAGTACAAGGGCACTATAGGGGAGGGTTTCCGGTGGAGGGTGCAGGCTTGAGGGTTTGACCCCGAGGCCCTCTCCGGCTGAAGGCTTGCAGTTGAGAGCTTAGGGGAAGGGCCGGGTTGCTGCCTGACATTCAAAAATTCGGGTTTGGGTTTAGGATTTGCGGCTTGAAGTTTTTGGTGGTGTTGGGTTAAGGGCTTTGGGGTCTGAAGTTTCCAGGTTTAGTTGTTTGTTGCATGGTGTGTATTGTGATTAAAGGTTCATGGGTTTAGGAGCCGGGATTTAGGAGGGTTTAGGGGTTCCTGCAAGGTCTCCTATAGGATTACTATAAGGGATCTATAAGGGTACTTCAAGGGGTTTAGGGTTTAAGGGTTCCGTTTAAGGGCTCCTATGTAGGTTTACTGCCGAAGTCAACTTAGGCTGCGTTTGATGCGTCAGCTGCGGAGGCATTTTTCGATTTGGGAGTTTCCGAAAATGAGGGGTACCTTTAAAGGGATCTATAAGAGTTCTATAAAGGGTTTAGGGTTTGGGAGTTTCCGAAAATTAGGGGTACCTTATTTGGGGGTCCTTATAAAGAGGATCCTACTATTTAGGGCATTATATTAGGGTCCCCTATTTTTGGAACCCCCCATTTCGGTTGTTGGTTTCTGTGCTGCCCGTTTTGGCAGGATCAGGGTAAGACTGCGGCTGCTAACTGCTAGGGTTCTTTGAAAGTTCGCAGGCTTTTATGGGGTTTCAAGTTGCCTAAAGGATCTGGCAGGTAGGGTAATACAGGGGCCTCAATAATTACATATACTATTTTGGGGGGTTCCTCGTTATAGTTACAGTATAGTGGGTTCCAAAACCCTATTCTAGTCATCTCGGCCACTATATTGGAGGTATGCGAATGTCGCGGCTCAGTGGTTGAATCTCAGGGTTTAGGTCAGCCCGTTCGCATTTCTATGTCGCACGCAGGTTCATATGGGAGCTTCCGAATATGAGGGGTACCTTATGTTGGGGTCCTTATAGTAAGGATCCTGATATTTAGGGTGCTATATAAGGGTCCCCTCTTTTAAACCCCCATATCGAACCTGTGACATGCAATCTACCACTTGCTTTACACACAGATGAACCTGTAGATGCTGCACAAGAGATGTATAGGGCTACTCGTGAGAACGGGCTTTTGTGTCCCATGCGTGTGATTTTAGGCACAACCAGTATACAGGGAATACTTCGTACGACCATCCCCTTGCAGCCACTATTGTAGTTCTATCATAATCATACAGGGGCCTCAACAATGACTTATACTATTTCGGGAGTTCCTTGTCAAAATTGTGGCATAATTGGCCCCCAGAACCCTATTCCAATTACTAAGGCCCCTATAGTACCCCAATACCCACTTCGGATCATGGAGGCCTCTGTACTCTTCGCTCCTACACAAAGCTTGGCATGTTCGAGGAGTCGAACTCTTGGACACAGTGGCGAAGCAAGCCAGGCCTAGACCCTAAACCCTAAATCCTAAACCCCTAAACCCCTAAACCCTAAACCCCAAACCCGAAACCCTAAACCCTAAACCCCAAACCGTGACCCGGAGCTTTCAGTCCTGGTAATTATACTAGACCTACATCTCCCCAAAGCCCCTGAACTACCACTTTCAAAGTATGCTTAGTGGGGATCCTTAGTAAGGGCCCTTAATTGAAATCGACGGTCGCCCGCAGGATGATATCGTGGCAGAGAGACTTCGTCACTCGCCACATCAGCGTGAGGGCGTCAGGCTTAATTGAAATGCTGAACACTAAACCCCAAGGAGGTTTTGGCGTCGAACTTAGAAGATCATGAATCCGCAAGCCTGCTTGGTCTAAGATTTAGGAGGCCGGGTTTAGGGTTTAGTTCGGGTTCAGAGGCCACTACAGTTCGGGCTTCCGTTTTTTATAGGATCGTTCAGAAATCGAGATGCTAAGCCCTAAGCAATCTTCGAGGCAAGCTTCGATACCTGAAGGCCCTACGGCGACGCCATACGAGGCACCCTCACCTAATATCGAGAACTGTTTGGGATGGGATCTTTTTCGGGTTCAGGGTTTGTTTCAGTTTTGGCAATAAGACAGGGCTTCGTCATCACGGGAGTTGTACGGGTTTTATAGTATATAACGCAGAAGCCTGAATAACTAATAGTCTTATTCCCCTTATCGTCCCTGCACACTTGTGCTTAGTATATATCCCCAAACCCTCCGTTCTGAAGGCCTTTTAGGTCGGACGCTGTGAAACTCATGCCCTACGTACTCAGTGATAGTTTGCTTTGAAGCCCGGGCTTGCTGCGTCTCTTGCACGAAAAGCTTAAAGACCCTCAGCAACCTGAACCACTAAGCCCAAAAATCCTGAACCCCTAAGCCCTAAACCCCTGATCCCCTAAACCCTAAACCCCCGAACCCGCATATCCTAAACCCCTGAACCCCTAAAAAAAAAAACCATGAAGCTCTTGGGTGCCAGGCTTGGTGCCAAGAAGTTCATGTAGAACCTGACCAAGTAGCAAGCTAAGACTGTAGGGGGCTTCCTTATCATCTCAGACCCTATTCTAACCAAAATGTACCGTAAACATACAGCAATCATACCACAATGTACCATAACTTGACGTAAAATACCATAATCATGAAGGCGCCTGAGTTAGATCAAGTTTGAGGCTTGAATGTGCTGGATGGAAAGAGATCTGGCGACACGATGACGATGAGTTCCAAGCGGCCCTTGCTGATGGTGACGTTTCTAGGGCTTGGGCTCTGTCGTCTACCGCTGTTGAGCAAGCGTGCAGACTCCTGCGGAGCGGCTCGGCTCCTCCGTCTCGAGTTGCCCGCCCAAAGGTTTAGGAAATAGAGTTTAGGTGCACAACGGACGCGAGAGGAAGGACCTTCACTGTGGACGTTGCATCCCGCGTCATTCCTTAGGGTTCCTTTAAAGGGTACCATAAGGGCTCCTTTAAGGGATCCATAAAGCTTCTATGAGGGTTTAGGGTATAAGGTTCCATGTACCCAAATAGTATACACTTTGGGCCCAATGTACCCATATAGGGAGTACTTTAAGGCCAATGTATACACTATTTAGGTACATGGACCCTCAGGGCAGGCTGCGCCGGCTTCTGCGGACGACGGCTCATCTTCGTCGCGGGTCGTGGCAACAGTGGCCAGAAGCAGGCGAACCTTGAAACGGAATGTCGCGCGTTGTTCGCTCCAAGAACTGAATGGCTCAGATGGAAACTTGCCGTTGGGGTGGACTTGACTAAGCCGGTCTGTGATATTTACAACACTAGGACCCAGAGTAAGCCCTTATTCCCTTTTTAAGGTGTAGGTTCCGTTATAGCACCCTGTAATGAAATCATAAGGCCTCCACTAAATGGTATAACAGTACCCTGAGGCCCCAAAGTAGGACCTGTTTGGGGTTCATATTTCGAAACCTTTGGGCTTAGGGCGTAAGGGTTGAAGGTCAGGGTTTAGTAATTAGGGTTCAGGGTCCCGGTTCAGGTTTTGGAGTTTAGGGCTGAGGAGTCGCAGCAGGCCAGTTGCAAAAGGGCTGAGGGTATAGGGCTTAGGGTTTGGAGTTTAGGGTTCAGAGTTTAAGGTTTGTAATGTGGGAACCTGATTAAGAAACCTTGGGCGTCCGTTAGGGTTCCTTATTTGAGTCCTAGTATTCGGGGGGTTATATGGGGGATTAGACCCGCAATCATGGTATCAATGGAACCGAGGGTAGCAGGCCCAGGGTTGCTTAATCAGGGTCCTACATTAGGGTCATTTTTAGGATGGGTTTAGGGTTTAGGGGTTACCATACACAGGATGCTCTATGGGTAGTTCTTTATATTTGGGGTCCCCTTTTGGGGTCCTGCCTGAAAGGGTGTAGTTTCGGGACTTAGGAAGAGACACTACTTTAGAGAGCTTAATGGTTCTTGCGTTTGCGTGAGGGATGGTGCAATTTACGGTTTACGGTTTCGGGTTTTTGTGTTTCAGCTAACCGGTTGTAGGTGTTCAGAGGTTGTGAACGTACAGGGTTTTCGTTCATGATCAGGACGGTCTAGGACCATGTTTTGAAATTCTTCAGCTTAGGGTTTACAGCACTAGTTGTTTAAGCGCTTCTTTGTACACACACACACAGAGAGTATAGCATAGTGCCCCAAACCCCGAGTCTAAGTATGAAGGCCCTGACAGTGAGGAGTCTTTTTCGGGATGGCCCCACCTACCTTCATCCATGTACGAATCCTAAAATGATGGTACTACTAGCCAACTAACTATTCACGGAACCCTCTTTATATATATTATATATATATATATATATATGTATGTCTGGGAATATAGAAGGGAGTAAGGAGGGACCTTCTAGTTTTGGCTCCGGGGCGGGCCTCCTGCCGGACGAGTTCATCGGCTGGAGGATCTTTGGGAAAGGGGGGGTTGGGCGGGTTGGGAAAATTTAAGTTTCAGGTTTGTTTGGGCTTGCAATGATTTGAAAGGTTTAAAGTCGTAGAATTTCAAAGATAAAATCGGTTGAAAATGCTTAGATCTTGAATTCAGAAAGGATTGTGGGGTTCTCTAATAAATGGAAGCTCTTAAACTGCATACCCTAATCTTAAGCTCTAAACCCAAATCCTTGTAAACCCTAATATTGCAGACCTGGCCAGGCTTGCCCGAGTGTAAAACTAGAAATCTTGATCTCCAAACTCTATTATCTAAACCCTAGACCCGAGACCTTGGAGCCCGTAAACCTCAAGCCCCAAACCCTGACCCCTAGACTCAGACCTCCACCCGAAACCCTAGACCCTAGACCCCTAAACCCTAAACCCCCGCAAACCCCCTGTGGTGGCGGCGATGAGACGAGGCGCGGGTTTAGGCGTACAGGGATACAGGGTGGTATGTGATGCTGGTTGCCCACAAGCTCGTCCGGGACTTCGGTCCTGGACGTCTGTGGGGGACCGGGTCACCGGGTTACGAGGTCCGAGCTTGCCCGGAGTTTCGGCTCTGGGCATCCGGACCTCAAGGGGAAGATCCGAGCTTGCCCGGAGTTTCGGCTCTGGGCATCCGGACTTCAAGGGCCGGGGAAGATCCGAGCTTGCCCGGAGTTTCGGCTCTGGGCATCCGGACTTCCAAGGGTCCAGAGTGCTGTGAGAGTGAGCGCCCGAACCCGAAAGCCTAAACCCGCAAGCAAAACACCCGCCCCAAAGGAGACGAGTCGTGCCACTCCGGTGCGTCGCGGCTCCTTGCCCCCAGTACTTCCTTACACTTGCAGTTCTTCTTTGTAATTAATTGTTGTGTATGCTAGTTCTTGACGCCGTTACTGAAACACTGTATGACAGTCCGAGTCTAGTTCTAGTTTGGTCAATAGCCGCCTCTGCACTACATTATGGGTAAACTATTTCGAAATAACGCACTCTTTAGCAGAAGATGATTAACTGTTCATCACTGCGACAAGCCTTGCGAACAAATGATTCTTTACGTGCTGGGCCTGAGCTTCTGGAATATATTTTGTAATACTGCCAAAAGAAGACCATGGAATCAAGATGTCTCAAATACTACTAAGACTAAATAAGACCTTGAAGATTTCGAGGTGCAGCATACAAAACATCACTGAGGCAACAAATAATCGAAACAAGCCACAAACTCGAAGCGTATACTTCCAGCATCAGCAACGGCTGCAACAGTAACCCCATTGCGAGTGATCAGATCACCTCAAATTTTGAATTTGTTGAACTGTAAATTTGCCTCTAATTTGCTACCAGCCGCCTCAAAATTTATTACCTATGCTGGTTTGCCTTCTGTGAGTTCAATTCAATTACCACTCAGCAACTATTCTTCATTTCTGGATTCAATAGGCAGCGGCAATCAAGGGAAGCATTCACTATCTTTCAGTGGTATTCAATCAGCGAAAGAATTGCTTTGCAAATTGTACAAATTATGATTCGTTGAAGTAGTGCTAGTAATATTAATTACCAAAACCAACTATACAAATTTTGAAGCGGCTGCTGCTGGTAAATAAAGAAGGCGCTTCGAGCTTGTAATGGTTAGCTTCGTTCGTTCAATCAATTCTGTATGCTGTGTCGGAAAGTTCTCGTTGATGTACGGAAATCCACACATTGTTGCTGTATTCGTGCCATTAATTCTGAATAAAAATATATTAACTATTACTATTCTAATCACATCAAGCAGCAACGGTCGGGCGGTTGCCAACAATAAACCTTCTCCAGGCGATTAAATTGCCTCAAATTTGAGGCTCACTCTCAAGTTTGAATCAAAATTGGCATCAGCCGCTTCAAAATTTATGTATTTGTTTTTCGGTAAGATCTTAGGCTCTTGCTTAAAATCAACTCCTTGTGGCATATCACGTGCAAAAGCGATTTGTTTCGTTGCCATTGAATGCTCCCCTTGCCTTTACCTATGAATCTAGAAATGAAGAATAGTTGCTAAGTGGCAAATAATTAATTGAATTGAACTCACAGAAGGCAAACAAGCATAGGTAATCAATTTTGAGGCGGCTGATAGCAAATTAGAGGCAAACTTGAATGGCAACAGATTCAAAATTTGAGGTGATCTGATCACTCGCAGCGGGTCTATTGTTGCGGCCGTTGCTGGTGTTTGAAGACCTAAGAATATGGTTCAAATGCCTCTGCTGGTTAGCCACAATTTGTCAGTCAGTTTTATCCGCGGCGCCTGAAAGCTGTTAAACCCTTATTGACATACGAAAGGTTGAACAATGGCGCCATTTACTTGTTATTG